AGGGAAACTTTTGGCAATGTTGACAAAATATTTCTGTGCTGTGTGGGAGGTCTACACATGCTCATTAACATTTAACTAAATTAGTATGCATGAATATACAGTAACGTCCAATTGAAATGCAACACTTGAATTTTTGTACATTTCTGTGAAAGTATGACAGATTTCGAAAAACCAAAGACTTATTTTTTAGGAAATTTCCTTCCCGTTCGAATGGCAATGGTTTTATCTTGATCGGATACAAAATGGCCGAATGGCAGGGGTTGGAGTGAGAAAGTGCATTTTGGGACTTTTTGAAAAGTTCGAAAACTAGTAGTTCCGGAAGGAAATTTATATTTCTAATCAGGGCACGAGAGAGAGCATCCTTCGGCATTAAAAAACCCCCCCCCATTGAACCCCTGTAGGATCACTCTAGGGGGAGTTACACCCCCTTGAAGGGAAAACACTTAAATGGCCATAACTTCCGCAGGCGCCGGCCAATCTGGTCCAGATATCATCTTTAATGATACTGCAAATTCGCACAAAATTATTGTTCGAGGAGATGATCCCGTGACGGAGATCTCGAGATTTCGCAAGCGTACCCGAAGCTTCCCCGCCATTTTTCATTAGGAAAGCGATGAAATAGAAGTTTCATATTTATCCACGTTGTAGCTGAGATTTCAATGATTAAAACGCGCTTTGAAACATCCAAAAATGAGTTTGCTAAGGGGTTAAATTATCCGTTTGAAAAAACGCCTAAATTTTACGAGTTCCGCTCGAGGCGCTCGGGGGACATTTTTTGGCTCGCGTGGTAGGGTAGTAGTCCCCCGAGCGCCTCGAGCGAAAATTGCAAAATTCAGGCGTTTTTTCAAAAGAAACATTTAACCCCTTAACAAACTCATTTTTGGATGTTTAAAAGCGCATTTTAATCGTTGAAATCTCAGCTACAACGTAGATAAATATGAAACTTCTATTTCATCGCTTTCCTAATGAAAAATGGCGGGGAAGCTTCGGGTGCGCTTGCGAAATCTCGAGATCTCCGTCACGGGATCATCTCCTCGAACAATAATTTTGTGCGAATTTGCAGTATCATTAAAGATGATATCTGGACCAGATTGGCCGGCGCCTGCGGAAGTTATGGCCATTTAAGTGTTTTCCCTTCAAGGGGGTGTAACTCCCCCTAGAGTGATCCTACAGGCATTCAATGGGGGGGTTTTTTAATGCCGAAGGATGCTCTCTCTCTTGCTCTGATTAGAAATATAAATTTCCTTCCGGAACTGCTAGTTTTCGAACTTTTCAAAAAGTCCCAAAATGCACTTTCTCACTCCAACCCCTGCTATTCGGCCATTTTGTATCCGATCGAGATAAAACAATTGCCATTCGAACGGGAAGGAAATTTCCTAAAAAATAAGTCTTTGGTTTTTCGAAATCTGTCATACTTTTCACAGAAATGTACAAAAATTCAAGTGTTGCACTTCAATTGGACGTTACTGTATGCATAACTGAGTTTTTCTGCATCAAAATATATTATATTTTTTAATTCCAACATATATTTTAGTGATTTTATCAAAAACCACGTGTGATTTGTTATATCATTGCATTGTTTGCGATCTATAAAAAAAGGACATTTTACTTGTGGAGGAGTTATAAGTTAATTACCTTTTCTTTATTTGAATAAGGCCATATATGACCTTCTGATCTGAAGAGGATTACAATATTACAAATTTATATTATATGGCATTTGTAAAGATTAATGAATTGTTTTTACAGATCGACTTGTTCTCGAACTAAAACTACCACCTCTGGATGCATACTATAAGTTGAGACACATTATTGAAGAAATTAATGGCCTCATTGCTTTGTACTCAGACTCAGAAAATCCATCATTTGTCTCACCTGCCTTGGGAAACGTATGTTTTGCTAGCTCTGAGTACAATGTTTGTTTTACATTAAAATCATTTGCCGCACTTTATGCCCGAAATCACCCAACACTCAATGCTACTGAATTTGCAAAGAGGTTATGGGGTGATGTATATTTTAATTCAAAAACACGAAAGTTTACAAAGAAACCTCCGCACAATACAGCTCAACGTAGTTTTATCGAATTTATATTGGAACCGCTATACAAGATATTCGCTCAGGTCGTTGGAGATGTTGACACTACTTTACCGGATGGTGAGTTTTTATTCAATCAGTCTTATTTTACTTATTTACATATTTTTTCCTTATCAAATATTAAATGACGCGCTATCATTAATAGCCAAGGTATTGGGTGAGTAAAATTTGTCATGCTCCCTTCTGTCTACTAAGAGTCTGCTATAATACAGATTTCAACTGCACGAATAAGTCCAAAAATTAAATTAATTTTTCGTTTTCAATTTTTAATAATATATTCTTATCCCCTTGCCTCTGGAGACGCTTACTTGTAAAGTGAGATAATAATTTGCAGGGAAAATTCTTCATCGGATTTTTACGAAACTGTACCTATTAGGCTTTGCAGGGTCACTGAATTCATATTTTCTCAAAAATTTCAAAATTCAAAATACGAGATTCAATATGGCGGATGAAAATGTAAAGGACGAAATAGATATACGATTAATTTATCAATTAATTTAAATTTTGATGAGAAGTACGCCTCAATTAACACTCATAAGTTGTGCAAAAGATTTTTAAACGATTTCTGGTTCGATCATACAGCAATATTTTAAAAATATAATCTTTAAAATAATGTTGAAATTATCAAATGTCAATTTAAAATAGTAGCTTGTGGGACAAACTGGATTGTCTTCTCTGGTGAGTTCTCTCTCGGATCAGCATGAACTTCCGATTAACATACATATGCTAAACTTATATCATTCAAGACTTGTCTTGTACGCGTACAGACGTTCGATACTGATCTGAGGGAGAATTTTATCGTATATAATAATTTTGTGCTTTCGTAAATCTATAAGCATATTTGTAATTAATTAAACATTGGTATGACATTATTTGAACCCTTTGATTTGGTCACCTATATCTGTAAATAATTAAAAGTAATGAGTATTGTTTTGCAGGCGGAAGTTATCAAATATGTCTTTAAGAGCTTGTGAAAATTTGTTGTTTGATTGTAGTTCTTGACGAGCTTGGAATCCGGCTAACCTCTGAAGAGATGAAAATGAATATCAGACCACTATTGAGATTGGTTTGCACTAGATTTCTTGGAGATATGTGTGGATTGGTTGATATGTGTGTCGCTCATGTTCCGAGTCCACTGGTCCATGCACCTGTTAAAGTTCAACATGTTTACACTGGGCCTGTAGATTCGCCATTGGCTCAAGATATGATCAACTGTGATCCAGATGTTAGTATTACAATATTATATGTTTTGATTACGAGAAGTAACAATAACAAGCATAAATCTTTAGATCTAATGCTACTAATAATAGTACAATGCACACGGAAGTTTCTGTTATATCGTAGACCACCTTTGGCCGTCCACCCCCGCTCATGCATTCGCAAGCAAAAGCTGGGCTTGTTATATATATAGGAATGAAACAAGACACCTCGCAGGTGTCGTAAGGCAGACTGATTTGAAAATAACAATTTTTGAGAATAAATGATTTTGATTGGCCAATATCCCGTTAACCGATAACTATTGCCCTCTTATTCGAGTCGCCCCTTTGACTATGTCGAGAGCGTTTTTTAACAAATGAATAGCGTAACAATTACTGAGATCCTCCACGATCGCTTCTCCTGTGCATAGGGTGAAAACAAGGCCCAACACCCAGCACCCAGCGCCAAGGGGATTTCACCACTGCCCGTAACTATAACCGAAACCTGCGCTTGTTCTCCAGCTCATTGCACTTCCTCGTGGGGCACTGGTATTGCAGCTGGGCTCGTGCCGACTCCTGGAGGAGCATTGTAGAGCGCTCTCCTCTGCCGAGAAATTTGTTTCCTCGAGAGTTCCTCTTCGCGGCTGATTTGGGCAAACGGACCTTCACTAATCCTAAATAAAACCTTTCGTCGAGAACTTTGACACGACCATACAAATACATCCGAGAACCTAATTTACAGATAGGGCGATGACTTGTGAAAAACCCGAAAAACCGTGAACGTTATTAAAAACGATAGCAAGAGTCCTTTCGTATCCGTGAGTGAAAAATCATGTCACACTATATACATTGTAATGGGTTCTCCTCGATCCTCCGTTATAATTAAAATCTATAAGGGTTGCCAGGGAGCGCTGGAAAACTAGCGATTTCCCAAAAATGAGTTCTGATCGGGAATCGAACCCAATGACTACGTACTACCAAGCCAGGACAATGACCACTGTGCCACCGAACCCACTGTTCGTTCTAATAAGTCTGATGTTTATACAATATAAATAAATGAAGAACAAGTAAAAATGCAAAATTATAATTATCATAATTATGTGGTATTTCATTATCATTTTTACTTTTATTGAAATTGTGGAGAATCGTGAGGAATAAAGTAAATACAAGGGTCTTCATATTACGAAATATTTATTATGACGCCGGAGGTCGGCGGCACAGCGCGCTTTACTACCAGCGCCGCAAAATGCGCAAAACTGCAAATGCCGACACTAATACGGCCATGTACTGCCTATAAGAATTTAGTAGAGTGCCAGGGGGTTGGATTCGGCGAAAAGTGTACCCTCTTCGGCGTCATTTTTAGGAGGCTTCGTCTCCATGTTACATCCCAATTACAATTCAAACAGTTTTTAATCATATTTTGTTAAACAAATATTTGATAAAGTTAGGCGTGGCGTTCTTTAAAATGCATTTTGCTCATTGATTGATTATATGTATATTTGAAACAACGTTAAATTGTGTATTATTCAATATCATGAAACCTATGAAGACTTGCGGTATAGCATCCTTTTAAAACCCTCATTTCTTATTGTTTTCAAACGTTTATCGGGTTTTTACATGTTCGCTGGGTCTCTCAAAGTCAACAGTAGCAAGCTAAAGTTAAGATATTACCGATGATTGCGTCTTCTAGAAATAGAGCTAGTGTTATATGTACATGTACTTTTTTGAAAAGCTTAATGAATGTTAAATGATTTATATTTTAGGGGCGGTTAATGATTCATAGTACGAAAATGTATCCGACCGAGGATTGTACGCTCTTCGTAGTCCTAGGGAGAGTGATGTCTGGTACTTTGGAAGCTAATCAACGTGTCCGAGTTCTTGGTGAAGCGTATTCCAGAGCAGACGAAGAAGATTCTCGGATCCTCACAGTGGGACGGCTTTGGATCAGTGAAGCCCGATATTCTATAGAATTGAATCGCGTGCCAGCCGGTAACTGGGTCCTTATAGAAGGTATTGATAGACCCATAGTAAAGACCAGTACTATAACGGATCTGATTGCGTCCGACGATCTCCATATATTTCGACCACTGAAATTCAACACTCAGAGTGTTATTAAGGTTTGTATTATAAATATATTTTTCCGAAATTCTGGCAGCTTTGTCTGTTAAAATGAGTATTTAGCTAAGTATATCCAATTATAATTATTAGCCAACGATAATAAATTAAATTGTGTTAGGACATTATGCTATGTTTAATCTCGTAGACATAACCAAAATTAAATAAAATATTTGTTAATATATACTAGGGACTGAACAAAAGGTGTTCAGTAATGTATTGAGTTGCTTATTAAAACCAGATACAAGGCATACTGCGTATCTGCTTCGTTTGCTTATTTCTATTAAACTAATCTTCGCAGCTGTAAGGTTAAATAACGTATTGGGTACAGGGATACAAAAATAAAAGGAAAAATATGTTTAACTGACTGCGAACTTGTATAAGCGGCAGTTCTTTGTGAATAGTTAGATGAAGCATGAAAATAAAAAAATAAATTGTACAATATCTAACATTATTCTTTCACAGTGACAATTTAAATGATTTATTTATTTTGAAATGTTTTTAATCTGTAGATTGCAGTGGAACCAGTGAATCCTTCGGAATTACCAAAAATGCTGGATGGTCTACGAAAAGTGAATAAAAGTTATCCGTTGTTAGGAACAAGAGTAGAGGAGAGCGGGGAGCATGTGGTTCTCGGTACTGGTGAACTTTATTTGGATTGCGCAATGCACGATTTGAGAAGAATGTATTCCGAAATTGATATCAAAGTAGCTGATCCTGTGGTGGCATTCGCTGAGACTGTTGTCGAAACAAGTTCATTAAAATGTTTTGCGGAGACACCGAATAAACGCAATAAACTTACAATGATAGCTGAACCATTGGAAAGAGGTCTTGCCGAAGATATCGAAGCTGAACATGTGCGGATAACATGGAACAAGTAATTACTATTTATTTTGTTGTTCTTTGTTGTTTTTCTATTTCCTTTACTTTGATTACCCTTAAAAAATTAACGATTATGCAGTACATATTATCTCTTACCTTTTTGGTTAACATAAACTATGGAATTTTGAAACAATTCTTCATTTAACGTTATCCTTTTAACCATTCTATATAAGGTGATGATTAATTAGCTACGCAACACTCTTCAGGCAATTATCTCTGTAGTATAATAATAAAGGCATTTTTTAGGAAGAGGTTAGGTGAATTTTTCCAAACGAAGTACGATTGGGATTTATTGGCGGCGAGAAGTATATGGGCATTTGGACCCGATTCGACAGGACCGAATATTCTCGTAGATGATACTTTACCTTCGGAGGTGGACAAAACGTTATTGAATAGTGCTCGAGATGCAATTATTCAAGGATTTCAGTGGGGTACACGAGAAGGTCCTTTATGCGAAGAACCTATTCGCAACGTCAAATTTAAAATACTTGACGCTGTGATTGCTCAGGAACCTCTTCATCGTGGAGGTATATTTCTTTATAATTTTTGTATCCTTGGAACTTACAACAATAAAATTCCTTGGATATTTTAATTTTTCCTAGCTTAAAATCGAACTGTATTGCCCGTTACCTTCTACCTAATGGTTTTATCTTGCATTATCGGAAAGTGAAAACACGCATGACGTTGTTGACAGTTATTTTGTATGCTATCGCAGACTGCAGAACTATTATAGAATCTCGCGTTTAAATAATGCTAAATAGCATATTACACAGTGGCGAAAAATGTCGTTTCTACTATTCGTCTTGGAGATTAAAATGTGTATTAAATGTTCTAATTTTTACATTATGGGCTATTCGGCAAAACGGTTAAAACATTGATATACATATAAAGATGCAACTATTAGGTATAAACGTTGCATAACTGGAATACGTTCAGAAACTTCAATTGAACGTAATCTGGTATTGCTCTATCTTTGTCGTAATAACGCTGGTAAAGAAAGATGCAGCGTGCCAAAATTATCTGGAGTAAGCGACCAGTATCTGCTGGTTGACAACTCAAATTATTCGCACCCAAAAATCTTTCTAAATCATAGGGTATTCGCAGTTATATGGGGTGTTCCTGATATATATTTTTCAATTCAGTTTTGTGAAATAGTGCGACAAATGTTACATTACCATATTCATACTTGCCCATGACACTTCTACAAACCTGTCAATATCAGTGTTTACTTATATTTTATTAATTTTTTAGAAAATGATAGAAAAGCCGGGGTTCGTAGAGATCGAGATTTAAGCCTGTATTCAGAACTCGCATTTAGTGCTAATAGCGCGCTTTCAAATTATTTGTTAGTGAGTTTAAAGGTGATCGTATTCAGGACCGCTTTATGGTCACTCTTACGGTCACTAACAGCTAATAGCGCGCTATTAGCGAAAAAGCCTATTCAGGACCGCTTTTAAGCATTTAACAGCGCGCTATTAGGCGCCATCTTGGGGCTAACAGCGAGCTATTCGGAGATGTGGGCAAGGGCATGTTTAAAGTGACAGGTCGCTCGAATATGGCGGACCAGATGGAGGCTATTGCCGAGATAGATGAAGTCCGCGAGTAAATGAAATGAGAGTAAGAAATCCGCAAGTTTTTCGAGAGAGACGTGATCCGTTTCGTACGTGACGTCATCCTTAGGCATTTCGGCCGTGTTCAATGCTCAGAGGCTATCAGATTTGTAGGGATCTTCATCCTCCATAAAATTTTCCAGGCAAATTTTATTGATTTTGAAATCGAGCCCAGAAGGTTTTGAGAGAGCAAAACCTTCACCTGCACCACTCGCACGCTTGCGATAGCAAGCAATAGTCTTCTTTGCTGTGAGTTTCCACCGCTGCTATGCATCTCTTATATCTTCCCATTCCCTCTTAATTCTAGTTGCCATCATTTTTTCTGTTAGTTTCATTCATTTGTCTCTTCTACTCTTTTGCAATCAAGCATTATTTGCTTTATTCTCTAGTATATCACGATTGTCGCTTACAAATTGTATGACTAATGCTTTTTCTTCGAGGGTGAAATTCTCCTTCGTTCCATGATGATCTACAACCATTTATTTTTTTTTTCATGTTCATGTCATGCCTGTCTTATAATAATTATAACGTATTAATTGAATATTAATAGCTTGGCTTCAAGAAAGGGAATTCTTGAATTTCGAATTTCAAATATGGCTGCAGTTTTTACCAAATATGAAGTTCGCGCTTTCCGAATGCCACCGAATACTCCCGAACATAATCGAATATGCCCGAGTCTTCCCGAATGATTACGAACGCGGTTGAAAGTACATGTTACAACACGCTGTTCCCTGTTAGCGTACCTTTAGCTAAAAGTGGCTTAAAAGCGAGTTCTGAATACGATCACTAACAACTCGGCGCAATCACTTTTAACTAATAGTGACTCTGTTAGTGACCTTAAGAGTTCTAAATACTTACGAGCTTTATACTTTTAATGATAATGCTTTCTTCAAATTTTGGGTACAAAGTTTCTTCGATTCAAGCTCTAAAACATGTAAATCACGCACATGTAGAAAGATCAATACAGTTCACCTTTAATTCTTTGTTTACATTATAGTATTTACGGTTTTACAGGAGGGCAGATTATTCCAACCGCAAGAAGAGTTGCATATTCTGCTTTTTTAATGGCAACGCCACGATTAATGGAACCCTATCTCTTTGTTGAAGTCCAAGCACCAGCAGACTGTGTTTCTGCAGTGTACACCGTACTAGCAAAACGAAGAGGGCATGTAACGCAAGATGCACCAGTTCCAGGTAGTCCGCTTTACACCATAAAGGCTTTTATTCCGGCCATTGACAGTTTCGGTTTTGAAACGGACTTGAGAACACATACTCAAGGACAAGCATTCTGTCTCTCCGTTTTTCATCATTGGCAAATTGTACCGGGTGACCCTCTTGATAAAAGTATTGCCATACGGCCGCTTGAACCTCAACCTGCCACGCATTTGGCTAGAGAATTTATGCTGAAGACTAGGCGGCGCAAAGGACTATCCGAGGATGTTTCCATCAATAAATTTTTTGATGATCCTATGCTTCTAGAACTTGCTAGACAAGATGTACTTTTAAATTATCCTCTGTAGAACTTTAAGTAAAGAATAAACTTAAGAAAAGTATTTTAAGGAATATATCAAACAAATCTTTTCTCTGTGTTTTTTTGACATTATTTGATATGCCTTGTCAAACTGATCATTAAAGTCCATTCTCAAAACAGTGTTTCTATGTTCATTTATTAACCTCTAGAACTATTATGCTTGTTCTTGTCCAGTATCACAGAAAAAGCCTAATACCAAACAATTAGCTAACCACTTTACTGCTTAGAGTCTGCACATCCTCCAGATTACTAAGAGTTTTATGACTGATACCACCCAGTATTGTGGAGCAAACGCTTGGGCATTAAAGTATCGGCAAAAATCGCCCCATATTTGTACAAAGGAAAAGATGTTTCGTCAATTCGGAGTCAACCTGAGATTGCAGCTAACATCAAATCTCAATGCGACATATCTTTTCGAAACGTATGATGTGCGGCATCAATCACCAATTGTCTCAAGGGGCAATGGAATTGCTCGCCAAGTTTCAAGGTGACAGTTTGGTTCCGCAGAGAAAGACATTTTGTCGAAAGGCTTCATATCGAAGTTTGCTCGCCAGCTCTTCACTCTCCCTTAATACGGGAACGTTGACTTGAAATTGTTTTCCGCATGAGAAGTCATAATTCCACATTCGCGATTTATAATTGTATAATATATTTAAAAGCGGGGTCAGTGGGATCTGTTTTACATAACGGAAGTCCGCGGAAGCACCGATATCACATATGGTTTTCAAGTTTAGGGAAAACTAAATGAATCTTTCAAGAATATACATCTATAAAAAATTCTTAGGCAAAAACTCAAACCATAAGAGATAGTACCGAAAAGGGACGTGTACGCTAGCCAGTCAAAGCCTAAATTGTATTGTTTTTCGTTAAAATTTTCATTAGTTTCATAATCCAACTGCATAGTCGTCCTTACCTACCAATACCTGCCCAGTTAATCTTTTATTATCCACGCAGAGTACTCCGCTGAAAATTTCTACTCCAATGATCTAGTTTTCTTTATCTATCACGTCCGCTATTTTTTGCAAATTTGTATAGATGCATCAATAGCAACCGTTTTTTCAATATTCTGAACAAATTCATCTCCCGTTTGCTAACATACAATAATTATGCACTAAGCTCACTTTCCTTCTCTACTGCTCCTTCACAAGTGTAACAATTGTCCAAATTAAATTTTTTGTTTTGCAATAAATTCCAACTTGGTATTTTCTTAAACAATCACTTTATTGAGTCTGCGCTAGAGACCAATCACCCCATCCAAAAAAATCAAGGTAAGTAGAGGAGGTAAGGGTCAATCGTGATAAAAATGATATAAACTAGAATATCTTTTGCGACGTGATTTTTCAATTCACGGTCACATGGCGATTCCGACTACCAATTTAGATAACGTCCTCGCTTTCTGGTTCCCTTCCAGTCGCCACCCTGCTTAGAAGCTACGCTCTCGGGTTGATTCGTAGTCCCGCCAATACTCTCGGAGGATTTAGTATTGTTTAGTTGAGGTGGAGGTGCTCGAATTTGCCGTAGAGAGATAATCTCGACGTACCGAGTTGTCCGGCAGAGGAGAGGATCCGACGGAGACGTCTCCACGGACCGGTAGAAGCCCGGGTGAAATACCAGTGCCCCGCTAGAGAGAGGCATAGGGCTGTAGAGCGGACGGAGATAAGATTTTGATACGTTTAAGGGCAGGGGAGGAACCCCCCTTTTTTTTTTTTTTTACGTGGGGGAAATCTTCCTAAGACACCCCAGTCCCCTGGGGAGGGGGCCGGGGTAGTGTGGGATTCTTACCCACTAAAACCCCCACGGTGACCCTCACCTGGCTATACAGGGGGGCCCCGGGATCTCAAATGAACACTACCGGGACCCCCTACCTATGCCTCGCGGCACCTCCCTTTCCCCCTAGTGGGGAGCCATCACATCCGACGGCGTGAGGGGGCCATTCCCCACGCCGCCCCCTCCACACAAGCCACGTGCAATGACGGAGACTTCCCCACTTCTCCGTCTGTGACCTACTCCAGGCGGGGGGGAGGGGACCGCCTTCTACGGCGCCCCCTCCCTCCCACCCGGCCCCTCCTGAAGGGATCCGCCCTCTCGCGGTCCCTTTCGGCGGCCTCCTTCTGCGAGATAACCGCCTCACAGAAGGAGGCCACCGCGTTCCATGCTCCCTCGCCACCCACCATCCTATTAACGACGGTAGGCAGCGACAGATCCTCCCCTATAATACCGACCAGGACACCGCGCTCCCTACAGAAGGCAGGGCACACCTGAAGGGTGTGCTGCGCAGTGTCCCGGTCGGCTCCGCAGTGATGGCACATAGTCGTCTCCTCCCTACCGATTCGGTGCAGGTACTCACCGAAGCACCCATGCCCGGTGAGCACCTGCGTGAGACGGAAGGATAACCTTCCCCAGCCGCGCCCCAGACAGTCATTCCAACTGGCTAGGATCGTCCCGACAGTACGATGGCCAGAGCTCTCCTCTAGCCTTCCACTCCATTCGGCCAGAGCGTCCTGCCGGGCCCGGAGCCTAAGGGCTCTTATCTCATGTACCAGCAAGGGGTCACCCCTGGAACCTCCACCGCCCTCCCGTATCTCCCAGTACACCCTCGACTCCATCTTCGCCTGGAGGTCGAAGGGGATCACCCTTGCCAGCACTAGCGTCGCCCTCGCGGAAATCGTGCGGTACCCTCTCACAATCCTCACGGCCAGTCGCCTCTGGACACCCTCAGCCTTAGCCCAGCTGCGGCGACTAGCCGTGAGTTCCCTTGCCCATATTGGTGCCCCATATAGTATCAGGACCGCACGACCCCGACATACAGGCGGCGCATCTCCTCCCTGGGACCACCAAGGTTGGGGAGCAGCCGCCGCCGCACCCTCAGCCCGCGGCCCCAGACTCTCAAAGTGAGCCCTAAAGCTCCAGTGGCTGTTCAGGGTGAGACCGAGATACCTCATGGTCTCCCCGATCCCCACCTGGGCCTCTCCGATCCCAATCCGCGCCGCTACAGGAGGCGGGCCGCCCCGCTTCCGATCGAAGACCCACATGGCCTCCGTCTTCTGCGGAGCAACCCGCAGCCCCATGGCGCGGATCGCCGTGACAACTCGTGCCACGCCTATCTCTGCAAGCCGAATGGCCCTCCACCACGAGGTCTCGCCGGCGAGGACTAGCGTGTCATCCGCATAACACACCAGCCCCACGCCGGCCGGCAGACCAACCCGCAGCACCGCATCGTATGCGAGGGCCCACAGGGTCGGCCCAAGAACCGACACCTGCGGGACCCCACACCCAACGCTCCTCAAATGGGAGACCCCCTCCCTGTCCCGATATCCTATCGTCCTCCCCCGCAGGTAGGACCCGATCAACCTCCTAATATAGGGGGGCAACCCATGGTACTCCATGGCTCCCCTAATAGCCGCCCAGGGGAGGGTGTTAAAGGGGAGGAATCCCTGACCCGAGTTAAGGATGTGGTGCCCAACTGTCGCTCGAGTCCCTGGGGAAGCGGCCGTGGAGGATCTTCAAAAGTTACCTACCGATTCACTAAGAAACGCTCTCAATTTGGTTTAACGGTCCGGTCAATAACCAAACTTTCACAATTCGTTCAATAACCGGGTACTCACCTACTGCGCACCACTTGGCTAAGTGGTTACAGTTAATTTCGTGGAATTTTAAATAACAATAGCGAAACCCAACAATCGTCGGATACATTTGGACAATGCTGAATAGTAATTTGGCAAAAAATTATAAGCCAACAGAGCACCTGACAATCGACGAGCAACTTTACCCATACGGAGGTCGAACTAAATTCACTCAGTATATTCCATCAAAGCCAGCCAAGTATGGTATCAAGGTATGGTGGATATGTGATACTGAAAATACGTATCCACTTAGTGGACAGCTTTACACTGGACAGTCGAGTGCCGGTCGTGAGAAAAACGTTGGTGAAAGAGTTGTCAAAGACTTGGTAGCACCGTACAAAGGATCCGGTAGAAACATTACAATGGATAATTACTTTACTACTCTGTCATTGGCAAAATATTTACTATCCTGAGATTTAACAATTGTTGGCACTTTGAAGAAAAATAAAACGTACATTCCACCAGCGATGGCTGCATTGAAAACACGAGAGGAATTATCCACTGTGTTTGGCATTCATGAAAACATAACTATGTGCAGTTATGTGCCAAAGAAAAAAAAGGCAGTGATTATACTATCAGCAATGCATCAGGAAGCAAAAATTGGTGATGGCGCAAAGAAAAAACCCGAATTTATTGAATTGTATAACTGGTCAAAAGCTGGAGTGGACACGATGGATAAAATGCTTGGACGATATACTACAAAAAGATCAACTCAAAGGTGGCCTCTAGCATTTTTCTACAATATTCTCGATGTCGCCTGCCTTGCTGCATATATTCTTTATTATGAGAACAATAAACTGCTTCCGAAAAAATCGTATGAACGACGATTATTTTATCGGCAACTGGGCAGAGAGCTGTGTACTCCATTCGTCGAAGATCGTTCGCATAATCCTCAAATCATGAGGCATTTCACAACGAAAGTGGCGATTGAAAGTTTTTTTGGTAGAGCTATAAATCCATATGTGCAGCCAACAGCATCTGGATCTTTAACACCCCAGGCACAGCTCGATTCACCCGGGAGAAAAAAGATTACTGGTGTATGCTATGCTTGTTTCCAGAGCGAATTCAAAAACGTCGCAAAACTCGGAAATCATACTCTGTATGTGAGTTACCTATTTGTGATGAACATTCTACTTCAACCACGACATGTCAGGAATGTGCAAAATAATTAAATTTACCTGTTTTCTGACATGCCACTGTATTATTATAAATAAAAGAAAAAATAACTAAAATAAAAAAAACTGAATGATACTTTTTTACCTACTACCTTTACTATTGTTTATAATAAAAATTGTTTAAATCAAGGAAACTAGAAACTATATTGTTGATTATTAATTAAAAAGTCAAGTTACATAAATACTTTAATAAATGGTCTTTCTAGTTTGTATAAACCCGGCTTTCATACATAATAAATGAGTACCCGGGTACCCGGTCATTGAACGGAGGAGGTATCGACTTTGATAGTTAATAACTTTTATTAAATGAATGAATTAAAA